ATTTTTCTTCTTCCTTTGAGCTATTTCATTCCACCCTTCACATGTAGTTTCTTGCCTTTCCCCACAGCTGGCCTTGTGAATGAGGAAGGTGTGTGCTCAACTTCCATTCTCCATGGAGCCTCACACCAGCCTGCATCCTTCCCCATCACTCCAGAACCCAATACCGTCCTCACATACACAGTGCAGGATGCTTGGGGAAGTGGGTGCAGTCACTGGATGTGAGCACCACTTTACCTCCTATATCCTCATGGGCAGAATGAAATGTGAGATCCAAATGACAGCCCCAGAGGCTTTGTGGGGGAAAAGGTGGTGGCCTTGTGCAGCAAAATGGTGGGCTCTGCAAGCAGAAAACTTGGACCCGTTTTGGTTTTGCCACTCACCAGCTATAGAACTTTTGGAAGGTTGTAGAAGGTTCCCTAACTCCCCCATATCTACTGTTTAACCTGATCAACCACTCTTTAGTTCCTTGTCATAGTAGTAGCTTCTGTCTTCTACCTTGTGGAGTGGTTATGCATTTGAGAATACATACAGCAAGTACTAGAGAGATGCTGATTTTACTGTCATCCCATTACTCTTACAAGAAAGCCCAGCACAGGAGCTGGGGATTTAGCTCAGTGGAAATGCACAAGCACAAGGTCCTGAGTTCAATCCCCAGTACCAAAAAAAAAAAAAAATCCCAGCATAAATGCAATGCATCATGCCCACTCTTGAGGGTTGTATTGTGTCCCCCCAAAAGGCGTGTTGAAGCCCTAACCTTCAGTGCTTCAGAATGTAACCTTATTTGGAAATAGGATCATTGCACCTGTAATGAGTTAGATAAGTAGGTCAGCCCTAGTCCAACATGGCTGGTATCCCTATAGGAAGGCACGCGAAGGTACATAAAGAGACAGTCACATGAGGACAAAGGCAGAGATCAGAGAGAATTCCTACAAATCATGCACGGCCACTCATTCAGTGGCTTCCCTCCCCTCAAGGGGTCAGGGGGAGCAGGTCCTGCCAACATCTTGGTTTCATCAGGCTCCTATGGCCTCCAGGACTGTGAGACAATCAACTTCTGTTGTTTTCAGCTACTCAGATTATCATACCTTTTTTTTCACAACACCTCCAAGAAATGAAGACATCCACACAATAGAGTATTATTCATCCATATAAAGAAACAACATACACACAACCATGTGGATGAACCTGGAGGACACTATTGTAAGTGAAAGAAGCCAGGTGCAAAGGACCATGTAATATGATTCATAGAAAGAATGCCAGGTTGCTAGGGTTGGGTGAGAGGGGCCAGAGACTGCTAACAAAAGCTTTGTTTTCAGGGGTGATGAAAAGGTTCTAGAACTAGATAGGGAAGGGAGTTGTAAATCTTGTGAATTTATTTCAAACCACTGAATGGTGTGGATTTAAAATAGTGGAATTCTTTAGCCAGGTGTGGCTAAAATCCCAGCATACCAGGCCTTAAATTTCAGTATCTGAGAGGCTGAAGCAGGAAAATTACAAATTTGAGCCCAACCCTGGGCAACTTACTGAGATGTTGTCTCAAAAAAAAAAAAAAAAAAAAAGGATTGAGGAAGTAGCTCATTGCAAAGTCCTTGGGTTCAATCTCCAGTGCTGCAAAAAGAAAAAAAAGTGGGTTTTATCACATGCACATTCTATCTCACAAAACTAAACAAAGCAAAGCCCACAGTGTTGGGAGCCATTCTACATAATTTGGGGGAAAATCACTTCACAATTAAATTATGAGACCCAGTCTTCTTGCCTACAGGCTGGCAATGACATGCCAAAACATAACTCCATTTTTGCCTTCAGTCACAGCTAAGACTTCAATAGTCCCATGATGCTGTGACACTCAAGGGCAAGATCACATCTGCTGAAGACATCCTGATTCCTTCAGAACTAAGTAGTAAGAGAAAGGTTTCACCTGGGGAAGGACAAATTCCTTATCAGCTTAACTCATCCCACCTACTGTTGTAAGAACATCTTTGCTCATCCTAATCAACATAAACTCTTCTTCAGCATAAGATCCTTGTCAATTTAGGATTACCACCACACTCCGAGACATCTGATACTTCCTGCAATTATAAGATCCCCATCGTCCTAGGATCACTGCTGCCCTCTGAGTCATCTGTTACTCCTTATGAACCCAATAAATAGTGGCAAGCTTGGTGTGCCTTCATCTTTGCTGCCCAGAGCAGCACTGATCTGGCCCAGAACCCAGCTTCTTCTCTAAGTCTTGTTTTCTGTCTTGGTTCTTTAATTCACTTTGTGCTGTTGTGGCTCACAGGAGACCAGGGTTCACTGTAGGGGTTCTTGTAACGTCCCCTTTCCCTGTTCCCTACACCCCAGCTTTACCAAAACATATGAGATCCTACCCTCATTGCCTGGCATGTCCTGATTGTCTTGCTTTACTGAGCCTTGGCCTCCCTCACACTGTCCTTCTGGACACTGCCCTCCCCTTCTTGCCTGTTCTTTCTACATTCTCAACCTAGAGGTCACTGCCCTGGAGCTTTCTCCTCTGCTCTACATTTGAGTTGCACAGACATATTTATACATTGTATATTTGTACAGACACATTAGCCTAGGCAGGAGTTGCCTGACCACTTCTCTCTCCTGGTAGAGTGCCAGCTCTCCAGAGGTAGTGCTACATCTAGTGGGTGACCATGGACTCCTCCAAGTACATTGCACAGTGCAGGGTGTCCCACAACCTATGGAAATTAGCATAGTTATCTAGCCTGGCCATTGGATCAGGAGGGGCACATTTGTGGCTAGAAGGTGAAAAAACTTGATCTGTACTTCTTCTTCCTCTAGGTTCTCCACACACGAACAACCTGATGCATTTATATAAGTACCACACACTAACCGATTGCGCCACTGGAGCTCCCCTGATGCATTTATTTTAGCAAGGAATGACTGTGACCATTTCCCACATGTCAGGAACACTCTAGCAATACAGACTGGGAAACAGTGTCTAGAAGTGAAATAAATCCCTAAACAGTTAGCCTGCTCTTTGAGCAGCTCTTGGTGGCTATCGGTAACATGCTAACATCCCACTTATTTGCAGAAAGCTCTGACATACAGGAGTACCCTGGCTCTCTCAGTCATAACTTTTAATCAGGCCAAGAATTCCCGAGAAAATAATGTTTTATACAAAAATGTGCAATACTGGGTCTGCATGAACCCCATTTTTTGTGTTTTCATAATAAAATGGGTATCTCTGACCCTGGTGCAATGACTCCAGCAGGCTTATTCAATGTGCTTAACTCTACTCTTGAATATTCTGCCTTATGATGCTTTCTACTCCAAAATGTGGGTCCCTAGGTGGTGCCATTCCATAATAATACATCCTTTTTGTTCTTCTTCGTGTGTGTGTGTGTGTGTGTGTGTGTGTGTGGCACTGGGTAGTGAATTCAGGCCCTTCATACTAAACTACATCCTTTTTTCTATTTTTTATTTTGGGACAGGGTCTAAGTTGCCCAGTCTAGCCTTGAACTTGGGATCCTCCTGCTTCAGCCTTCCAGAGTGCTGGGATGAAAGGTATGTGCCACCATGCATGGCTTGTTTTTTACTTTGTTTTGGCCCTTTTATAACTGGCATTAATCAGTTCATGAAGGTGGAGCCCTAGTGGCCTAAATTACCTCTGGAGGACCCCATCTCCTAACACTGTTGAATTGGAGGTTAGGTTTCCAGCACATTGCTTTTTGGGGGACACGTTCAAACCACAGCTAGCAGACCTTCTGTTTTACCTGATCTGTCCCTTGGCTTTTCACTGACCCTAGAGAAGAAAGATTTCTCCATGGGAGAAATGGAAACCATCAGCCTCGCCCTTTATACATTTTTCTGGCTCATTGTGAAGTCTTGCTGCAGCTTCTCCTTGATTTCTGACCTCATGCACTGCTACATCTCAAAGCCTTCCTTTTCCTGTCTCTAGAATTCCTGTTAAGTTGATCTCTGATCAAGCTGACCATGAATACACAACACAGAGCTGGATGAGCTCCAGTCAGGTATGCTCCCCTGTGCAGAAACAGGGGGCTCCCTGTGTGGTCCCCTCAAACTGCTTTTGCAATTGAAAGGTCCTGCCCAGAGTGGTTGGGTTCTACAGTGCTGAGGAGGGACACCCATGTCTCCCAGATCCCAGTGAGCTCTGGTATGACATGAGGGCACACTTCCCTCTCTGGGAGGCGTTAGGGGAAGTCTCTGATGGAGTCCGAGGGAAGATCCTTCATGAGCTGGGTAATACTAGAGAGGAACTGATAGTTTCTTTTTTTGGGAACCACTTAACACTGAAAGGTTACAATCCTGTAACTGGGCTTGTGATCTTTACACTAGGACACCACCCATAACTGGCAGATTCTACCCCATAACTGAGAGGGTGTAACCCTGTAACAGAAACTACCCTATAACTGGGCATATCATCCTTCAGCTGAGAGCAGGGGTGAGGGACTTAGGGCCCCTAGCTCAGTGCCTGTGATGGGGGATGGCATTCCAGGACCCCCAGCCCTGACTCCACTGGGTGAGACAACCGTGGCACTCAGGCTCACCGAGTTACCGTTTGGAGACAGAGACTCCCATCTGATTCCAGCACATCTAGGGCACAGGAGGATGGACTCAGGCGCAATTTTCCTCCAAGGCCTAAAACTGAGGACCACAGACCTCCTGCTGAGGCCTCTTGGGATGGAGGACATTCAGCCATGAGGACCCAGGGCTCCTGCTGAGGCCTCCTGACATGGGGGACACTCAGCCATGATGACCTCAGGCCATTTTCCTGCACAACAGGTATAAGAACAATTGGCTCCCAGACATATAGCAAGGAGGGTCTGCAGGGACCATCCCTGGAATGTTCTGCAATGCAGGACAGGAAGGCAGGGGTGAGTGGGAGGGGAGCTTCTCCTGCTTTCTGCTCAGGACCCCCTTGCACTGATGGCATTGAGGTACCTCCCACCTCTCGTGGGCTGTGGCACAGTCGAAGGCTGCAGACGGTAGAAGAACAGGGCTCCCCCACAGGGTTAAAGAACATATTTGCTTTATTTTAGCTTCTCTTGAGGGAATTACAATGAAAACACCTCTCTCACTCCAAACATGAAATAAAACTGATGCATGTGCGGCTCTTATGCTGACGTCACACTAAGGATCCCAGGGAAGGGAGGCCTCAGGCAGGTGTGACCCTCAGTCTGGGCCATCCAGGTCCTGTCTTGATTTCCTCTCAAGCTGTAGAACCTGGAGAGAGAAGCCCATGAAATCAGTCACCACACAGACTCAACACCTGTGCTGCTGATGGGCAGCGGCCCGCACCCCGATGGCCTCATGGCTGGCACTGAAAATGCAGGTTACCAAATGGCATCTGCTGAAACCACAGTGGAGATGGGGAAGAGGAAGTCTCGGCACCTTTGTGGAGGTCACCATGTATGGGAAAATGACAGATATTTTTATCTTCACCTACCCATGTCTGGGTAGAAGCCAAGCCCTTCACTCCTGCTAAAGAATCCACAGGTCGGCAAGGCTCTTGCTTCCCACCCTGGGCGGCCCCATGCCCAGCCTGCCCTTGAGACTTGGCTGTCCCCTTCCTGCAGGGATGCCGGGATGCAGGATGGCCCAGCAGGTGGATATGGGCTCTGCAGTGAGCAAGGTGTGAACTCTACTCGGGGATGCAGGGCAGTGGCTATAGTTTCACGCTCTTTCCCAGCCCCTGCCCGGCCCTCTGTTTCACACTGACTTCTATTGGAATCCTCCAGGTTGTTCAGCCAGGAAACTCCTTTCCACCAGATCACGGGGACACAGAGTCTCCTTGTTGTAATAAGAATCCCGAAGGACTTCAGCCCTGTGGGTCAGTCCTCAACCTCAGCATCCCGACACGAAGGCTGGGATCACTCTCTACTGGGTGAGGGTGGGGGTGGTGGCATCCTGGGCACTGCAGAATGTTCACAGCATCCCACTCTGCCCATTAGGTGCCAGCAGCACTGACCCCACCCCAGTTGTGACAAGTGAAAGTACCCTCAGGCAATGCCTGATGGCCCTCAGGGGCAAATCACTGTGTAGGTGGCACACACTGTCCCCCTGGGCCCACCCTCAGCATGCACATCAGCTGCTCAGGGTACCTTTGCCGACTGTAAGACTGTCAGACTGTCAAAGGCTCCTCCAGCCCTTTGAGCCCTGTTGCTCCACAGAGCACTCTCTACAAGTCACCATCTTTACACTGGCTACACCGTCCCCAAGGCAACCGGCTGACTATCTCTCCTGGGCTAGGAAGGGGCACCATGTCTAACTCGTTCCCTTTGGTGGATCTGCACTGAGCCTAAGAAAGGGAAGGAGGAGAGGACCTAAACTTGCTTTTGTATTGACTTTATTAGTCTTTCCTTTATTCTATTATTAATTAATTAGTAAAAGGGAAGATGCAATGGTTTAGAAGATGTGAAGCCATCTGGATACTCCAGTTGTTTACAAGTGGCAGTGACAGGCACCGCTCTCATAAAGTGATGTATAGCCACTAACTTTAGTACACTCAACACCAGAAAACGCAGCATGGGCAAAAATAGCACATGCCAAACTCCAATCACTCCAGATGTACTTATAAGTTAGCACAGCCACTATGCTAAAAATATCTATTTAAAAAAATACAATTGTTGGCCCTATCTAGTTGCACATATATCTATTGACATATCTGTATAATTTTGAACTCGTAGTAAATCTGCTACAGTACTTTTTTTTTAAAAAGCCGGCTTGGCTTGCATTATACAAAGCAAATTCCTCTGTCAGTTCGGACATAAAAGTTTTTTTTTAAATGTTTCATTTTTCTTAAAAGACACATATCACCATTACAGAATTTAACAAAAATTTTTTTGCATAAAACTTGAGAAGTGATAGAAAAAATAATCACCTGATTGGTTATTCAGAGCAACCCCTTATAATGTATGGAGATGCCCTGAGTGTCAACCACATGATTTTCTTTTAAAAGTAACATATAATAAATCCCTCAAAGTGCCAGCATATCCTTTCCCTCACTGACCTAAACTATGAAATTTCTCTGCCACACAGAGGAAAAACTCAGGACTAGCTATAAACATCCTACCATCAACCTTACCTGAAAACAACATCCTTTTGTTCCCCAATTAGCTAGATACGGCAGTTTCTGTCTAGCCATATTGACAAGTACTGTGAATTTCAATAACTGTCAGCAGATACCATTTTAATTTGCTTTTTCAGGAAAAATGATGATTTTGATATTTTGAAGGTCTTTCTAATATAAAGTGAACTGAAATTAAGTTATTAAAAACACAATCATCCTTTTGGTTAGGTGTGTACTGCTCTGTATCTAAATACTTATGAAGTGACTGATACTAGATATTATGAGATACAGATTTCAATAAAATAAACAAGGAAGTAACTGCTTTCCCAATTGAGCTGAGGATGAGGACAAGTTCTTATTAGATACTCCAGACTAAAACATGCACAGGAAATAATACTGCTCTCCTGAGCACAGCCACTATGGTAAACAGTATGGAGGCTCCTTTAAAAATTATAAAACAGGGCTGGGGATTTAGCTCAGTGGTTCCGGTGCCTGCCGCGCAAGCGCAAGGTCCCAAGTTTGATCCCTGGTACCAAAAGAAAGAAAAAAAAAAACCAAAACAGAGCTCTCATATGCTCCAACAATCCCAAGCCTTCCAAAGGAAGTGAAATCCATAAGCATAAACACTCCATGTTCACTGCGGCACTGTTCACCACAGCCAAGAGATGAGAACTTCAGTGTCCACCAATGGATGCATGGCTACAGAAAATGTAGTTTATCTACATAATGGAATACTATTCTGCCTTTAAAAGAAGGAAATCCTGTTCTTTGAAATGACATTGACAAACTGAGAGGACAATATGCTATGTGAAACAAGCCAGTCTCAGAAAGACAAATACCATCGGATCTCATTCATACATGGAAGCTAAGACATAGCACTCTTTCTTGGAAGTAGAGAGTAGAAGGGTGGTTCCCAGGGACTAAGGGGGAGGTACTGGAGAGATGCTGGTCAAGGGATGCAACATTTCAGTTAGGCAGAAGGGAAAAGTTCAGAGATCTATTGCATAACGTGGTGACTGTAACTATAACAACGCATTGTTATAGAGAAAAAAACTGTGACAAAAGTAGATTTTCAGTGTTCTTATCACAAAAAAGTGAGGCAATGCATATGTTAGTTTGATTTACCCACTCCACAATGTATATATGCAAGGGTTGATTAAAAGATACAGTGAATGTTTTAAAAACTTACAATAAAATACCCATTGCCATTAATCCTCCTAAAAATATTCTCCCTTACTTTGAAGACCCTTATCCCATTGGTTTTGCCACTTTTTGAAGCAGTGCTGGAAGTCCAGTTTCATGAGTGTCTTTATGAGGTTTGGTCAAAAATACTGACTGCTCATGCCAAGAGGCAGGCTAAAAAAAAAAAAAATACATTATGTGTGTCCTCATCCACTTTATTCACTGAATCTGGCACCATGCAACTTCTGCTCTTTCCAAAGCACAAATGACTATGAATGATAAACATTTTGAACTCATTCAAGACACTGAGGCAGCCATGACAGCACAACTAAGACATTCATGGAAGAAGACTTCCAGAACTACTTCAGAAAGTGGCAAAAATGATGGGATCGGTACATTTGAAGTGAGGGGGGAGTATTTTGAGGGCAATTAATAGCAATGCGTTTTCACTGCATACATTTTGTAAAAAAATTTAAGTCACACATCATATTTTTAAACATCATGCTGTACACCATAAACACATATATGCAATTTTTGTCAATTAAAAATATACAAAAATCTTTAAACATACTTGCCCCTCTGCAGAAATAAGGATGGTAAAATATGCCTCTGTGTGCAGAGAAAAGCCCTCCATCCCCAAGGCTCATGTACACTCTACAACACATAGAGAAAAGCACTTGTCATAATGTACCTGACTCTCGATGCAACGGAACTGCCATGGCCACCGTGTGTTGTACAGGAAGGGCCGCAGATCAAACCTATTGTCGTCAGGACTGTAGTTCTCCGCATGGTATGCAGGCGTGAGTGTGGTCATCTTGTGTCTGTTCACAGAGTACTTCCAGAAGAACTGCTTCACCTTGTCAGCCACCTGGTGGGAGCATAACACATAGGCTTCAAGTCAGCGAGTCCAGAAAGACCCAAGGCCAGAATTCTCACATTGGACAATGTAAGAAAGCAGCTTGCAGCCTACAGCCCTGTAGGTGGCCTTCCCTGGTGGCAGGAGTGGACAGTGACAGGGCTGGGTGGTGGTTGGCTGAGCTGTAAGACTGTAGAGTCTCTGGGCCCAACCCCACTGATCTGCTTTAGGAGACAGGAGTAGGTCCACAAACACATTTCATGAGGTGCTATGGGACCAGCACATCTGGACACTTCAGTTCTAAAAAGGCTCACAACCAGGAGAAAAGTAGCAATATCATATTCTGATGTCAAAGTCTCCACGCTGCCCTCACAGGGGCTTGGTGCATGTGTGCACCTGGTATGGCTGAGCCTCACCTGGGTCAACTCAGGGCAAACTGAGGATCTGAACTAGTGAAAAGCGAGTCCTGAAAGTGTTACTGCATGGGACACAAGTTGTTGTGTTGGAGTCACATGGCATTCACTTGTTCCAGCAGGCCCAATGGACCACTGCACACAGGGCTTTGCCTGGCTGGCCTCTGTCTGCAGGACATCATGTGCAGTCTTACCTGTCTCGGGGTACAGGTGTCCTTCCACATGTTGAGGAGCTTGCAGAACATGCTGTAGGGCCCTACCTTGGCTATCTTCCTGAGCCTCCCATACACTGAGAGCTCTGAGTATGTCATCCCCATGTCATCCTGCAGAGGACAGAGATCCATTCCAGGACACCATGAGCCAGAGCCAGAGGGAGGTGTGGTGGGAACTGGAGGCTTCAGGGTATGAGGAGACTCCCTAGGGTCTGAAACAGATGCCAGCCCTACTTCCCACCAATGATTGGCCAAACAGGGGGTGTGATTTGGAAAAATGAGCCAGATATTGGGTTTGAGGACTGTAGGGGGGACCTGTGGCCACCAGAGGACATGTGCCTCTCCTGAGTACAGGTTCCTGTGAATAGGAGCTCATTTGAAAAAAGGATCTTTATAGCTGTAATTAAGTCCAGGAACTTGAGATGAGGTGAACTCAGATGTCGGATGGGCCCTAAGTCCAAAGATAAGTGTCCTGATAAAGGATCAGAGGAGAATCACATGGAAAAGAGGAAGAGGCCATATGGAGACTGAGGAGAGATGAGAGTGATGTGGTCACAAGTCAAATAATGCCGGAAGCTTCTAGAAGCCAAGAGAGGCAGGAAGGGCCCTTCCCTAGAGTCTTCATGTGGACCTCAGTGCCACCCACACTTTGGTGTCAGACCTGTGGCCTCCAGGACTGGGAGAGAATGCAGTCTTGCTGTCTTAAGCCACCTGCTTTGTGGTCATTTGTTATGGAAGCCACAAGGACCTAACAGAGCAGATGGACCCCTATCCCCTGGCCTCCTGAGCCCTCTTCCCTGAAGTGTAGAGGGTTCAGAGAAAAGAGACAAACTCAGAAATGTGGGTAACATTAGAAGCCACTGAATGCTGCCAGCCTTATGGAGCCACACCACGAATGCTTCAAGCCACTTTCAAAAGGGTCGACTCCATACCATCGCTCACACCAGTCACCACCTTTTCCACTGTCATAGCTGCAGTTCCTTCTCAGTCCTACCAAGCTCCAGTGCATCATCAGAGAGACAGTGACACTGGCCTTCCATAATCCACAGCAACAGGGCCCCTGCCTCTGGCTGTCTGTGGCCCAGCTGGCCATCCTGGCCTTCCCTCAGGTCTCAGTCGCAATGTCACCTTCCTGGGGCCCTATCCTGACCCACACTAAGAACACTCTTACCACCTCTGTCTCTATCGGATGCACAGCACTCACAGCCTGTGGGGCCATCATGGTTAAAGCCTTGTCTGTCCCCTCCAGGGGACTCCAGCATTTTAAGAGCAGTGGCCACACCTACTGTCTCCCCTATGGAATCCCCAGCACTGAACAGTTCTGGCATAGGAAGCTGCTGCGTTCCTGGTTTCTTTGCATGAAGTGGGGGTTTCCTAGTGTGACATTTTAGTTCCTCCATTTCAACAACAGCAGGTGGAGACTTCGTACTCCATGTCTGGTAACAGACCAGCAGATAATGTCAGCAAGAGACAGAGACTCAGGGGCACTACAGACCAACTGCCCAGCAAGACTGAAGAACCCCTACCCCACTATGGCCTCTAAAACACTGAACTCTGCAAAGTGGGCTGGGGTGTGGCTCAGTGGTAGGGAACTTGCCTCGCATGCTTGAGGCTCTGGGTTCCATTCCCAGCACTGACAAAAAAATAAAGTCCCTTGAAGAATCTCTTCAACTCCACAAAGGCATAAGAACAAAGTGGACCTTTACCTCATGCCATACATAAGAGTTGATGCAGTAAGACCACAGACCACAGACCTTCCAGGCTTTTGGAAGAAAATAAAGGAGTAAATCTTTGTGGCCACAGGAGGCTAAAGTGTCCCCAGTGACTCCTTCCAGCCTTCATTGAAGCTGTGAACCATGGTTGGCAGCCCTGAGGATTCGAGGCCAGTGTGAAACAAGACACGAGTGAATATTCTCCAGGGTTGCACTGAGCACAGGAGACCCTCCCACGCCAGGGACAAGGGGAAAAGGCACACGACAGAGCCACCCATTACCTCGTCTGTCTGGGACACCTGTCCGTCGGCCAAGGGCTCCAGCTCTGCAGTGGCTGGCGCTGAGAGGATGCTGTGACCGAGACACACAGAAGTCAGTCACTAGGCTGCTGCCACACTCACGGTCACTGGGGACCCCCAGACCCACTGTCCCCAGCAAGCAGCTACTGCTGGCAGAGTGCAGCTGAGGTTCATGGTGCTGGATGCCCTGATGGGAGGCACAACACAGCGTCTGTCTCTGGACAATGGGGCTGGGTGGCTCTCTCTGCCCTGCAGGATGCCTAGGAGTGCCCTGACCCCTACACACCAGTGGCTGGCAATATATCCCTTTGTGACAACTCGAACTCCCCAGGGAGGACAAGCAAGGTAAAGAACATTCCCCATGCAGGAATGATGTGCCAAAGGCCTAGACTGGCTCCAGGTATCAGGCAATCAAAAGAGCTAGGAGCCAGGTATGGTGGTGCACACCTGTAATCCCAGCACTCTGGGCACTGAGGCAGGTGGACTGTCATGGAGTTTAAGGCCAGCCTGAGCTACATAGTGAGTTCAAGTCCAGCCTGGACTAAATAGTGAGACCTGGTCTCACAAAATAAACAGAAAAATAAAAATTTAAAAATTTAAAAAAGAAGAAGACGTGAATACTAGGATAAGAAGTTACAAGGTTAAAATCTACAGCCCCTAGAGAGATCAGAAATCTGGGATAAAGAAAACTGGGACATGGATTGCTTTGCTGTTATAAATTTGCTAGGGCTATTTAACTCTTTAAATCATCATATATTATATTGGCTAAAAGTAAATTTTACCTGTAATCCCAATATTCTGGGAGGCTGAGGCAGGAGGATCCCAACCCGGGGAACTTAGCGACTTAGTGAGACCCTGTCTCAAAAAAATAATAAAAAAGAGGCTGGGGATGTAGTTCAGTGTAAAGGCCCTGAGTTCAATCCCCTGTACCACAGACCAAAACAAAACACAAACCAGGTATGGTGGTACATGCCTGTAATCCCAGCTGAGGCAGGAGGATAGCAAGTTCGAGCCCTTTGGGCAACTTAGTAACTTAGCCAGACCCATTTTAAGATAAAAAATTAACAAAGGGCTAGTGATATAGCTCAGTAGGAGGGCCCTGGGTTCAAGCCCAAATACTTGGGGAAAAAGGGAGAAAGAAAAAAAAAGAAACATCATTGGGCACCAGGCACATGCATGGGTCCCTTCTGCCTCAAATTGGCGAGAAAGAGGTAGCAGGGGGAGGAGGCAGACAAGGATACACCATCTGGCCAGGCAGTGACAGTCAGGGTGGCCTGACTGTGGAACCTCAAGTGCCTGGAGGAAGGGCAGTTGCTTTCCCCAGAGGACATGGAGCTGTGCAAGGTGGCCAGGTGAGGTGAGGTGGCTGGTGGCCTGAGCTGCAGCCCCAGCCCAGTGGGTGCACACTCACTCCTGCAGCACGGGAAGCTGGAAGCGCTCCATGCAGAACTGGACAAAGGCTCTCAGGTCAGTCTTGCTGATTCCACCGATGGGGTTGATGTCCGCACTGGAGCAGTCGTACTTGGTCAGGTAGCCAAGGAGACTGAGAGAGAGAGAGAAACAGAGACAGACAGACAGACAGACAGACACACACACACACACACACACACACACACAGAGACAGAGACAGAGACTGATTGATTCTTGACGGTACTCCCCCAAATCCTATAGTCTTTCCTCTCTGGTCATCTGCAGACTCCTTTCTTCCAGGAGCCTGGCAGATTCCAGGGTCCTGGAGAATGCCACACAGGTAGGACAGGCTGCAAGGGGTCAGAGGCAGGGAACACATCTGGGCCAGGAAACAGGCTTGGGCATCCTCAGCACCCAGCTGGGAGCAGCCTGCCTAGAAGGTGGAGCCAGGGCCTGTGGGGAGAGCTGAGGACAGAGGTCCCTCAGGGGTGGTGGGGCCACAGTACCCTCAGAGCTCAGCCTGAGTGGCAGCAGAGACCCTAGAGCTGTGAATATGTTCTCGCACCTAGCAGAAGGGGCTTTGCAGGTGGACTGAGCTAAGGATGAGATGGGAGATGGTCCTGGATTAAGAGGTAGGAGTAAAATGTAATCACCAAAGTTCCTAGGTGGGCAGGTAACAAAGGGTTGGGGGAGAGAGCTGTGCACAGAGATCAGGCAGTGAGATCCCCTTGCAGGCTGTAAAGGTGCAGGAGGGCTGTGAGATAAATGTGGGCTCCAGAGACTGGGGAAGCAAGGACCAATTTTGGTGGAGCCCAAAAGGAAACCACCTGACCATAGCACGGTCTCACCTATGAGAATAGTAGGCCATCTGCCCTACTGAACCATCAGCAACAATCTTTGCAGCTCAAGCCATTCACTGTGTGGCCATTTGCCCCAGCAGCCACAGGGAACCCCAGGCCTCTCCAGCAGATCTGCTTCTTTGCATCCATCCCCCAGCCAATGGCTCTTGCATGGGCCGGTGTGTTCTCTGGCTGGGCCTCTGGGTTACCATGCCATGCTGGTGCTCCATCTCCAAAGACATCCCTGACAATGCCTCTGCACTGCCCAGGTCACCAGGGGCCTAGACCCTATATGTCCTATCTCTTATGGCTGTCCCTTCCTATCTCTCCTCTGCATGTCCTCAATCCTTTACTATCTGTCACCTTCACTTGGCAAAATTCCACCTTGCTTTGAACCCAGCTCTGCCCATTCTGGCTACAGAGGAAGGCTCAGCTCACCTGTAGGTGCTTTAGTTCCCCAATCCCTCATGCTCCTGTCTCTAGGGTGCTGTCTCATCCCCTCTCTCCCAAAGCCTTCCCGCTGCTGTGGACGCATTGGCAGGCTCCTTGCCTGGGCCCTGCTCTCATCTCCCTTCAGCAGTGCCCCTCTGCTGGCCCTGTCACACCACCATTTTAAAAGAAGAAAGGGCCTGCCCTTGTTCCCACACTCACCCAGCTATTATCCTTCACCTCTCCTACCCTTCACAGTCAACTTCGGGAAGAGCTGTCTTTGAACTCTCCCCAAACCTGCCCTAGCAGGTCTCCCATCCCCCATTCTAAAAGACCAGGCATCCCTTGGATTCCAGGATTGGTCCTCAGTTCTGGTACAATCTAACCCAAGTATCTTTGCACAGACTCTCTCTGAAGCACACTCTGTCCTTCACTCCCTGTAGGCCTGGCCAGCCTTAGACTTGCAAACTCACAAAACTCCTAAACTTGGGCCGGGGATTTAGCTCAGTGGTTCCGGTGGCTGCCTCACAAGCGCAAGGTTCCAAGTTTGATTCCTGGCACTGGCCGGGGATTTAGCTCAGTGGTTTCGCTGCCTGCTGCGCAAGCGCAAGGGCCCGAGTTCAATCCTCGGTACCAAAAAAAAAAAAAACACCTCCCAAACTCCTTTTCCCTACTTTGGTTTTCTCTGTAAATGTTTCACTGACATATACACTATTGGTTTTGGTATTATCTGTTTGCTTCTACTACAGTAATGTAGGAATTATTTCTCTGTTCTGCTCACAACACCAAGAAAAATGCCTGAAGTACAACAGTTATTGAACAAGTACCCAATGAAAGAACAAACCAGCATGCAACTGAATTAAAAATTAAAATTAGAGGTAATTAGAAAATATAATTTTGAAAAAGAAAAATCTTAAAATACTATAGAAAATTATAAAGTTGAGATTCTATCCCAGAATATAAAGAAAAATAAGAAATGACTATATTGAATGAGATGGGTATATTGAATGAGTAGATGGGGAAGGCAGAAAACATAAACAGATACAACACAGATATGAAACCAACAGGACAGAAAAAGCACAATTAAAAGATGATAGAAGAAAAGTTTTTGGAACTTTAGAGAAACTGTCTGCCTGTGAGAAAGGGTTAGCAGCAAAAGATGATGAAAACAGATGTCTAATAGATGTTATGAGATATGTTTATTTTCTAAATACACATCTAAAATCTCTACACACTCAGAGTACAGCCACTATGAGAATAATATTTAATTTTTGGTAAAATTTTAAACACCAAAATACAATGGTTGAAAGTTATGAGAAAAAATGCTACAACAATATAATTTTACAACAAGTCAAATTCTTATTCATCTATAAAAGTAAAACTATATTCATGTTATTAATTCATAGTTTATTTCATAAACTATGTCAGGGCTCAGAACATATCTGCTGTCTCAAAAATAATGCCCTTAACACAAGTACTGGAGGCAAAGAAAAGGAGGGAGAATTAACTAATTAGGCACAGAGAAGGTGAGACTTTTACTTTTTTTAGCAGATATAGGGTGTTAATTTTATATTTAAAGAGAATACACTTGTAGACATACAAGGATGTATAAACAGTACAACACACTATAGATAAAAGTATGAAGGATGGGTTCATAGGTAGGTGGGTAGATGGATGTTTGGTGGGAGGGTGGATGGTTGGGTAGATAGGTGGATGGATGGATGGATAAGTGGATAAAAGGATGGGTGGATGGGCAAGTGGACGAGTGAATGGGCAGGTGGATGAGTGGATGCTTGGATGGATGAATGAATGAATGGACAGATGAAGAGATAGATGGACAGGTGGGTGGGTTGGCTGACAGATCAATGCAAAGACTAATAAATGACAAAGTTTTAAAATTTTCTCAGCTAATAAGAAATTAAGAACAGCCAAAAGAACAGCTGAGAGGCAGGGAAGCTCACCTGAGGGAAGTTGGGAAACTGTCTGAAAAAGATCTACCAGCCTCCACTGCTGGGCCTGAGATCAGCTTGAATTTTGTCTGGAAACAAAAGAGAGTCTCTAGATATTTTTTTAAACAAGCTAGCACAATGAGAAAGAATATTTTCAGTCTGTATCAAAATGAGCTATCTGGTTTTGAGGTGAAAATTAGATGCAAAGAAATGATGTAAGATGCAATGGAGAAGTGGTGGCATTAGACTAAACCCTACTATAAAATGCACATGTGAGGGATCTAGATTTCATGTTTTTTATGAGAATGTAACTCCTGAGGATGTGAGGTGGAGCTGAGGCTGTGATGCTAGCATTGTGAACTGGCTCAAATACAGATTAAAATTAACAAAGAATTTTGACTACACAGAGACCATAATAAATCAAATTGTTTACAGATTCATAAGATTCTACCAGTGATTGGCAAGTGACAATTAAGCTGCATCTGCTGGCACGATTTGAGTCAGAATCCAACACTTATTTTAGTCAATGCATCACCCATCAATTATTTTATTTACCACTTCCATCTTAACTTCTTTCCTGCATTGCACACTTATCTCAGTCATAATTTTTGTAATCCCACAAGCTAACTGTAGCCAAAATGAGTAAAAAATAAATGTCACTGGAGAGCTGCTTTGAAAAGAGGGAAAGACTCAATGATAAGACAGCAGAAGATTCTAAGACTGGCAACAAAAACAAAGCTGGGTTTGAAAGAAAGTACCAAGAGTTCTACTTAAATTACAGGTTCATTTCAATAGTGATTTACATTCTCCAAGCCTGCTTTGTATAATATGTGGTAACCAGCTATCCAATAAAGCCATGAAATCTTTTAACTGCTTCTTCATGTGAATACAAAACATCCTGGATTAAAAGACAAGTCTTTCCTCTACACTGAAAACTATAGCACCCTGAAAAAGGAGATCGAGGAGGATATAAGAAAATGGAAAGACATCCCTTGTTCCTGGGTAGGAAGAACCAATATAGTGATAATGCCCATACTTCCAAAACTACTATATAGATTCAATGCAATGCTGATTGAAATTCCAACAATATACTTCACAGAACTAGAGAAAACAATCCAAAAATTCATCTAGAACCAGAAGAGACCTAGAATAGCAAAAGCAATTCTGGGCAACAGAGACATGGCTGGGGGTATCACAATACCCAACTTGAAGCTATACTACAAAGCTATTGTGATAAAAATAGCATGGTACTGGCAAAGAAAGAGACCTGAGGATCAGTGGAATAGATTAGAAGATGCAGAAACAACTTCAGACATACTCAGCCACCTTATCTTTGACAAAGGAGCCAACCACCATCATTAGAGGAAAGATAGCCTATTTAATAAATGGTGTTGGAAAAACTGGATTTCAACCTGCCAGAGATTAAAACTAGACCCATACCTATCATCATACACTAAACTAAGATCGAAGTGGATTAAAGATCTAAATATTAAGACAGAAACACTAAAGTTGCTGGAAGATAAGTTAGGTAGAACTCTTGAAGATATTGGCAGAGGAAAAGACTTTATGAATAAAACCTCAGTAGCACAGGAACTAGCAGAAAGAATCAACAACTGGGATCTCATCTTATTAAAAAGCTTCTGCACTGCAAGAGAAAACAACAGAGCTAAGAGACAACCTACAATGTGAGAAAAAATTTTTAGCATTTGTTCCTCCGACAAAGGACTACTATCTAGAATATATTGAGAACTGAAAAAAAAACAGACCCCCCAAATTCAAAGACCCAATTCAAAAATGGGCATCTGAAATGAACTGACATTTCTCAGACAAAGAAGTAAAAGCAGTAAATAAACATACGAAAAAATGTTCAACATCACTGGTCATTTGAGAGATGCAGATGAAAACAACACTGAGATTCCTCCTCACCCCATAAGAATGGCTGCTATAAAGAAATCAACCAATAACAAATGCTGGCAGGGGTGTGGAGAGAAAGGAACCCTTCTCCATTGTTGGTGGGAGTGCAGACTGGTGGAACCACTATGGAAATCAGTGTGGAGATACCTCAAAGAACTAGAACTAGAGGTCTCATTTGACCCAGCTATTCCCCTGCTGGGTATCTTCCCCAAAGAATTAAAAGAATCATACCACAGAGAGATATGTCCACCCATGTTTATAGCGGCACAGTTTGCAATAGCTACAGCTTGGAAACAGCCCAAGTGGCCATCAACTGGAAACTGGATAAAGAAGATGTGGTTTTTTCATAAAATGGAGTAATACTCAGCCATAAAGAATGAGAGACTAGAGACATTTATAGCTAAATGGATGCATATTGAGGCCATACTCTTAAGTGAAATAAATAAGACACAAATGTGTAAATACCGAATAGTTTCTCTAGTGTGAGAAACTGAAAGTATAAATAAGGATTACAAGGATTAATAATGAATAATTGATACTTTGAAATAGGAAAAGGTCCAAAGGGGTAGGGGTAGTAGGAGGGGATGGGGAAAGGAAAGAAGGGAAAGGAAAAATTAAGAGAAAAGAAAAAAGATGGAAACGAAGTCTATGTAAATAGGGAAGGATGGAGGGGTGAAGGGTGCACAGGTAATGGGGGAAATAAATGAAAATCAAGATACATCATGTACAGGTACAAGCACCCAATGATAAATGCAAATGTATCATATACCTAAAATGTACCAATAAAGAAATTTAAGGAAAAAAAGTCTTTGGAATGTTTCAAAATAAAAAATATGTGAACATGAAGAACAGAAGTAATTATTGAAGACCACCACTTCATAAAATATGTCTGTACTTAAAGCATCATTCTTGGTGGCTAACTGCATTGCTAAAGCTAAGAAGCGCTTTGCTACTGCTGGAGAGTTGATCCTGCCTGCTAAGGTCATTTGTTGTGAACTTTTAGGAGTGGCTGTGCTTCAAAAGGTGGTACATGTTCCTCTTTCAGCTAGCACCGTAACTAGACAAACTGATGAAACAGCAAAGGGTACTGAGGCACAACTGTGAGAGGATTAATGAGCCACTATGGTAGACAATCCAGATTGATGAGTCTACCAATGTTGATAAGAAGACAATAATGCTTGTTTTTGTGTGATCTCTTTTTCAGGAGGATGTGCACGAGGACATATTAGGTGCACTTTTGTAGCCAACCAACACCATAGCTGCAGAAGTATTTAAGTCTTCAAATGATTATATATCAAGAAAACTGAAATGGTCATTTTGTGTCAGTATATGCATGGAAGGAGCAGCTGCTACGACTGGATGACTTTCTGGTTTCACTACTCAGGTCAAAGAGGTCGCTTCTGAATGTGAGTGCATGACTGTATCATTCATTTGAAAGGCTAGCTAGTCAAAAAATGTCACCTAAACTTAACAATGCTTGCAGGATGTGACTAAAATCCATGTCTGTTCATATAGCTCTATGAGGAGATGGATGCAGAGCACACGCATCTTCTCTTGTACACAGAAGTGAGATGGCTTTCTAAAGAAATATCATTGGCCAAAGTTTTTGAGTTGAGAGCTGCACCAAAGATTTCTTTTAGAATAACAGTCAACACTGTCAACATATTTCAGTGACACAGGTCACAAAACTTGCTTACTTGTGTGAAATATTCAACCTGCTCAACAAACCCAATCTGTCACTTCACGAGAGAATGACAACTGCGTTCAAGTTGGCAGATAAAGTGGCTGCATTAAAAGCCACACTGGAATTACATGGGCAGTGGTGAACACTAGCTTTTTTTTTTTTTTTATGTTTTGCACATTAGCAGAGATTTTCAAAGAGACTAAACCAGGGCCTTCTTTCTTCCAGCTGGTGCATGATCACCTATCTCAGCTTTCAAAAGAATCTGAGCATTACTTCTCAACTACAAAAGACTACTGAACGGGAAAGGAATGGATCTGTCACACATTTGTGCATAAGCCAGGTGAATCGACTTCATCTGTATGAGAAGAGGATCGACTGCCTGAGATTGCAAATGACAGTGTCCTTCAAAGTATATTTGAGACAACTACAAATATCTGTATGTTCTAGATTAAAGTCAAGGCAGAATAGCCTGAAATTGCTACAAAAGCACTGAAAATCCCTGCTTCCATTTCCAACATCCTATCTTTGGAAGCAGAGCTTTCTGCAACCAAAATAAGGATTATGGAGTAGACTAGACTTAAGCAACACACTTCCGTTGTCAGTGACACCCATCACTCTCAGATGGGACTGTCTAGTTGCAGAAAAACAAGCTCAGGGCTCCCATTAATCCTACATTATGATGAGTTATGTATTCATTTCATTATATATTCCAATGTAATAATAACAGAAATAAATATAGTGTGCTTGAATCATCCTGAAACCATCCCTCAATCCCAGTCTGTGGAAAAATTGTCTTTCACAAAACCAGTCCCTGGTACCAAAAGATTGAGGACCACTGCTGTGGTAACACTTCCTGAGGTAGTCAGGATGCCCCGGAACTGCCATAGTGGGGCTACACATACCTCTCATCCACATTGGCAGATCCGAGCACAAGAAGCCCCCCACAGGTGCCCCGAGACCAGAGGCTCAGCTGGGCAAACAGGTAGGCGAGGACCATCCTGATCCGAGCCTGGAAAACACAAGGGGGAAGAAAGAATTACCCTGCAAAGGGAACACAGGAGGGCACACGCTACTGCACTATGGGTCCATTCTAGCCCAGGAGGAAGGCTTCCCAGAAATGCTTCAAAAATGTTTGGGGCTTTCTAGATTTCAGGGGAAAGTCTCACAGCATTCCTCGAGTTCCCCCGCAGTACTCATATGAGCATGGAGGGTCCCAGCTCCTCCATCTTTGGAACCTAGGATGATGGAGGGAGCCTCAGTGGTAAGACCAAGTGACAGTCAGCTAGAGAAAGGGCTCTGCCACTTCATTTTGCCCCCTTTACTACTGGCACTTCTGGAGAAGGGAAAAGGGATCCACGTATAGCAAGGAGGGGACAGAAACATGACAGATCCAAGAAGTACAACTTAGTGTCTTTCTTCTCCCTTCACTGCTGAACAGTATCCACTTCCACCATAGCAGCCCACAACAGGGAGCAGGCCTCACCTCTCCGTGGAAGAAAGGCGTGCATGCACACGCACACACACACACCCACATTCTTGCTCATGGGCACATTCATGCACACTTTTCCATATGCTCATGTACATGCCTATGCACTCCTACACACACTCACATGCACTCCCACACTCATATATAAGCTCACATACACTTACACACTTGGGTACACTCACACATTCATGCACATATGCATATACTTCCACACACATTCCTGTACACACAAATCCATGTGCTCAGACATGCACTCATGTAGACCTAACACACTCATACATATAAATGTTCATACACATGCACATTCCCACAATGCACACTAACACACACTTGTGCACATGCTCACACACTGATTCACACATACACATGGATATACACGTTTATATTTTGCATACTCACACAATCACACACTTCATTCACACTTATGCATCATGTACATACTTGCACACTTAAGACACATCCTGTGCTCTCTTACACACACAGATGCACCTACACAGAAACCTGTAGGTGTGTTCAATGTCTAACACAGTACTCATGCTGCTGACCCAGCACTAGCTGTCCCCAGAGCTCCCTGTGCCCCTCCCCACTCTGGTGGGCACAACGGCCCTGGTTGGGGGGCCCTTACCTGCACATTTTGCAATGCCAGGTCTTCCCTCCTGCCTCCTCCATGAGCTGCAAACAGAGGGCTTTTCCCTGTCACCAGGCTGAAGATGCCCACAATGGCCTTCACAGCTGGGTCAATGTTGAGACCGATGTGGTAGCTAGAAGGAAAAATGGGGACCATGAAGGCAGTGTGTGTGTGTGTGCGCGTATATGTGCATGTGTGAAAGACACATATAACACCTGTCATTGTGACCACTGTAAAGGTGTGATTAGCAATCTTTAGTGCATTCCCAGTGTTGTGCAGCCATTACTGCTATCCAGTTCCAGAACTTTACCATCCCAAAGAAACCATATCCCCATTCACAGACATGCCCTGCTCCCACCTCCTCCAGCCCCTGCAGTGACCACTAATCTGCTTTTTCAATCTATGGATTTACCTAATCTGGACACTTCATACAAATCCAGTTACACAATTATGTGGCCCTCCGTATCTGGCATCTTTTACTCAGCACAATGATTTCAATGTTTGTCCATGCTATAGAAGACATCAGTGTTTCATTCTTTTTTATGATTAAGACTCCACTGTATGGAGAAACTATACTTTGAATGGACATGCGGGTTGTTTCCACCTCTTGGCTCCAGTGCACAGTACTGCTATGGAATCTCCTGTACAAGTAATTATTCGGGTGTTCAGGTCCCTGCCTCTGACTTTCCTGCGTATACACCTAGGAGTGGAACTATAGCAGCTCTAGCTATGCTCAGCAAACTGAACAGACAGTTCCTTTTCTCCCAAGAGGTAAACAGTTGGGAAGCTTGGAATGAAACCAAGTCTTGCCTCTCTGAAAGTATTCTCTACCTTCTAAAGTGGCAGAGGCAGTCAGGTTGGAGGAAGTGACATGGGAGGGGGACAGTCTCTCTGCTGGGCTGGCTCCCTGTGGTCCCACACCGGAGCACACCTGACTTACAGCCATGCCTGGGACTCAGGGACTCCAGAGAGAAGAGAGTATAGAAACCGTACCAGGGCTAAGACTTGGGAGCAAATGGTTCTCCTAAAATCTGCTCCAAATTAAGAGAAAGTAGAAACCAGATCAGCTCCTAGACCCATATTTAAACACTAAGCTGTCACAGGCAGAGCTGACAGCAGCCCTGATCTGTGTCATAGCTGCCAGGTTGTCCTAAGCACCAGGACTGATCTACCTTCCGATCTGCTGGGCCAGCTTTTGGGCCCTGTTGCACGTCTCCTGGGAAGAGTTCTCGCTGGCCATGTAGCAGGTGGTCAGTACGTGTCCACACAGCTCCTGAGGGTTCTGGGGGATGTAGCTGCTCTCATCCACAATGGCCCGGATGTCAGTCAACACTTCCTGATCTGAATCCACCCGGAGAGATCAAGCAGAAGGCAATGTTATGCACGAACTGTCTACACAGCTAATCCCAGCCTGTCATCAGGGAATCTGCATAGCTAATCCCATCTATCACCACTTTTGTCTAACCACAGAGCCTCTATTCTTTCACTGGGCCCCACTCTCGACAAAGGGCAGGAGGCAGATTCAGCTCTATACTCATGGTCAAATCAGGTATATGCCCCAGGGAGGGGCTTTCCTGGCTCTGGGACGTGATGTGACAAAGCCACAAAGCCGCCATCAGCCATGATGTCCACCACCTGGGCTTCTCTTCTCCCCGCTCTTTTGCTCCCCTCCCCTGGAGCTCCTTAGGGCCCATGAATGTCACTTACTTCCTCTCGCCACTGCCTCACAGATCTGGTGGCACATGGAATAGATGAGGCAGGCAGTAGCTGCACTGTCCACACCACCACTCAGGGGCAGGAAAAACCCCGCCTGGAAGGGGCCAACCAAGCATGGTATAAGCAGAGTTCAGAGAAGCACCACACCCAGAGCTCAGCCCAACTCTGCCCAGCAAACTCCATGCTGTCCCACAGAACCACTCATGGATGTCAACTCTATCCCAGGGGTGAGAAAAATCCCCCACAAGTGCCAGAGGACCACAGGGATGGAGACCTTCACTGTGGGGCTTGTCTTCGGCTGACTCTCCTCCAACAAACTACAGACATGCACAACCACAAAGCTAACACAAGACCCTCTGAATACCTAGGTAGTTCTGCCAAGACTTCAAAGGAGCCAAAGCGGGCTGTGCCCATCTGGCCTCTGTTTAATGCAGGCACCAACCCCATCCCCAAGGCAGAGTGAATAAATGTTTTTAGTTGCATGTAGAAAAAGAAATTATGAGTCTTCCCTACAGTTAGATACAGACCAACCAAAAGAAGAAGCATGGTGAGCTGGCTAGAAACTGAATGTCTTACCTGTTGGCTTCGTCTTAAATAATCCCAGAGCCAGCAGGCAGGTCCAAGGCTGCAGAGCAATCAGGGTGCTGAGTGTGGAGCAGTGGGGCCTGGTCCCCTGTGCTCCTGCACGGCCACCCCCGGGGGCTGATCCCCCAGGGGAGGCAGCTTAGAGATGCTAGCCAAAGGGGCTGGGCTCTTGCCATGCCCCAGGCTCTGCTGTATGCATACCATATGCATTAGGGAAGTTGGGTATTACCATTATCTTGTTTTGAAATCTATGACACAATGGACAGACCCTTTGTGCCAAGGTTGCAGCACAAGGAAACAACAGAGCTAGAGGAGGAGCCCAGGTGGTCTGGCTGCAGCATCCACACCCTTCACCTCAATGAGGAACAGACAGGTTGAGTCCAAAGTCTCCCCTGGGGCCAGGCTCTGCAACCCACTGCAAATGCTCTGTGCCACCCCCAAGGCCAGTGCAAACCGTGGCACCACTGGATGGAAGGTGACGGCCACGCAAGCACCAGGAGCCCAGAGTTGAGAGCCACCTACCTTATCTCCTCCTCGGGCCTGTGGTATTTCCACTCCACGGGCTCAGAGACGGACTCCAGCAAGTCATCATGACAAGAGAGGGCAAAGTCCACCTTCACTCGGGGATAGGGGTTCACCCTGCTGGCCTGTGGTTGGACATTCAAGACAGAGTGACATCCCTTCATTACAGAAGCCCTCACAGGTGATGAGACACCACTAACCAGAGGGAGACACAAACCAGGCCCACAGGGAGACCAGACAGCTCGAATCAGGGCAACAGGTAATAATAAGTGCTGGTAAGGGTGTGGAGAAATCATAGCCACACATACTACTGGCGGGGACAGAAAGCAGGCCGCTGCTCTGGAAAACACTGGCACCCTCTCAGAAGGTCAAGTAAGAGTGAATCAGCAATTCCACTTCTGAACATGGCTATTTAAGAAAAATGGGCAGGTTCCCCTCAAAAGTCAGTCCATGAATGTTACAGCAGACAAAAACCATGAATGCTCCAGTGTTCAATGGTAAGTAGACTGTGGTCCATCCACACAATGGAACACACTCAATCAAGAAAGGAATGAGCCCTTGACATATGCTACAACATGCACGAATCTGGAAAGCACTAGAAATGAAAGAAGTCAGATATAAATCAACAAACACTGTTCCATTCCTATGAAATGTCCAGAATGGACAGGTCCTCAGAGATAAGAACCAGATCAGTGGTCACCAGGCCAAGGAAGGGGACAGGAGTGGCTACTCATGGCCACCATTCCTGTTTGGGACTGGAAATATTCACACGTTGACTGTGTGACTGTTATAATTCCACAAACATAGCAAAAATGATAGAAACGTGCTGTAATGAGTAAACTGGGTGGTAAAGAATTATAGCTCAGTAAAGCTGTTATTAAGAAAACAATCCTAGGCTGGGTATAGTGGTGCATGCCTGTAATCCCAGCACTTGGGAGGTTGAAGCAGGAGGCTTGCCACAAGTTTGAGGCCAGCCTGGACTGCATAGTGAGTTCAAGGTCAGCCTGAGATACATAGTGAGACCCTGTCTCAACAAACAAACAAATAAACAAACAAACAAAAAACAATCCTTTTAATTTTGAGCTTCACACTTCTGTAATGTCTGCAAAATCACTGCAGCATGACAACCCTCCTATCAGTGACCTGGACTCTTATAGAAATGCTAGGACTCCTAGTTGGATGAAGGCCATCCTCACATTCAGGGGTCTGGGACATGTTCATTCACACCTCAAACCTTGTCCCAACTCCATCATGGGGGTCAGCCTTGGCTTCCTGCTGCCTGCTGGTCACACCACCCTCACTGTCGCCCCAACTCAGGGCCTCCGGGTTTCCAGGCTAGTTAGGCATCCTGTGTCACAGTCTTGCCTGCATGGACCTTATAGGCCCTCTCCCTGCTACTCCACCTCACTGTGCACATCTGAGGGTGGCTGGAGCCCAGGTTTTCTCTGTACCACGGCCTCCACATTTCTGAAGCTCCATCAGAATTGTCACACTGGGGCCACAGCCTTGGCCATACCCTCAGTGGAGAGGACACTTTTGGAGACCTGGAGCTGCACCCATGCAGTCCTCTACTAAGTACTCACCGCCAAGTTCCGAGAAGAGATTTCGGCCCTGTAGCTCCTTACATCCTCCAGGTCCAGTGTGGCAGTCAGGACCTCCTATAGAGGGAATTTCAAAAAGAAGCCATAATTTCCTGCCTTTTTCTTCCCCTCTCTGTACTATGACCATTGTCATTGGAGTTGGCTCTGAATGAGTCACATCTTCAAGCAGGGCTTGGGGACCTGTGGACTCCTGGGGCCCAAGGACAAAGGTAAACAGCTTCCAACCTAAATCTTCTCCCTTTGCTGCCACCAGATCATCCATTCCATTTGGACATTTGCAGGTAATCCGTTAATCACAGCACAAGACACAACTCTTGGACATAGGGACAAATATTTTGGCCAGAAATAACCTAGACTGAAAGAACCTGACCATTTCTAAAATGGGAGAGGAATGTGTTTGGCCACTGGTGTGAGCTTCTTCTTTCCTTAAATGCCCTCCCTTCTACATTATGATTAACACTGAACAAGGAGGCCTTTCGGAACACTGTCACCTGGAAAGCAAAACTCAGAGGACAACTGGAAAACCCGCAAAGATAGAGGAGGAGATCTCAATGACTAGAGCCAAGGCCACCAAATGCTCGCCTGATTCTGAGCAGGAAACCCATGAAAACCTTGGAATTCTTCTCGAGGTGACTCTCCTGGGGCCACTTGCAGCTGGAGGGTGGAATGGTAATTGCTCCTTGCTAACAATCCCTACCATGCTGCAGAAAACATCAAATGCATCTCAGCTCTGGATGCAAAGGGAGTGAAGCAACATTATGCTCAAAGTCTTGGAGAATCTGCTACTGCATGCCACATGCTTGTCCTGCCTCATTTTGTATGTGCAGCTATTTAAAAAACTGGAAATCCCAAACACTTCTGGTCCCACGCATTTGGGATAAGGGCTGTTTTCAACCTGTTTCCCTTTTTGACAATAGCAGACATTTTTATTTATTTATTTATTTTTGTACCAGGGATCAAACCCAGGACCTTGTGCTTGCCAGGCAGGTGCAGTGCCACTGAGCTGTATCCCCGGGCCTTGATTTTTTTTTTTTTGTCTTCAGAAAAACAAAAGTGAAAGGTGACACAAATTTCTTAGAGACAATTTCATCTGCTGTCTCTTCTCTGTAAAGGAAATTAACATCTAATGTGATAAAATAAGAGAAACTCCACACATCTGCATTGTTAGGGGTAGTGTATGTGTAGCTCCTCAGCTTCTCAGAGGGATGTGGAGCCCCTGTAAGGTCATGGCCTCTACTCCCAGGGGTGGCTTGGCTGCAGTGAGACTGTGTGGCTGGGTCCCCATCTCTGGTCTCTTCCTTGTCTCATCCCTTTGCCCTCAGGACAGTAACAGCAATGAGCAGAACACAGCGCCCTGGGCACACACAGCTCTGTCCCTCACCACTGGCCTCCACGTGTTTAGAGGCCCCTTCTGCACCAGGGGTGTGGGGTCTCTTTTGCTCTTCCAAGACTCAGAGCTCTTTAAGGTGAGCCTTCACACCAGCAAGTGCTATCTTGACCTCTAGAGAAATCCTCCAGAATGCTGGTCCTGAGCACGAGGTCCCCGACAAACCCGGAGCCCCACCCTGATCCCAGGACCAGCGCAGCACCTGCTCTTCCCTCAGCAGGGGGGCTCGGTTCCCTGCTGGCCCCAGAATCATTCAAATAAGCCTGTCACAACCTGCAAAGGAACCTGGCGGCGCACAGTCCCTTGTCACCTTGGCACCTGATCCCAATGCCTGCTGTTCACTCTGCTCCTGAGCACTCTCTCAGGCAGTTCTCATCTGCCACATGTGCAGCCATCACCACAACCCCAGGGACAAGGTGACAAGGCGAGCAGTCCAAGCAGGTCACCTGCAGGGCTCTCATCACACACCTGGGTGTGGGGGGAGGACATCAGCCTCTGAGTGTGGCGACTGACTGGGAAGGTGCAAATGCTGCTCCCCACACTGTGCTCCCGCTTGCTCATACCACATCATCCAGAGAAAACTGGGACCCCTGAGCAAAGATGCGCCCATTCATCGCTATCATGGCACAGCCATCGTAGTAGAGACGGTCACCATCGCAGCCCTTCTGGTTGGCCAGCAGGTATATCCCACCATTCTGAAAGAGACGGAGACAGCAGTAAATCTGTCAGTGGTGGCTCCTCATCCTCGCCTCCCACTGGGGCCAATACCAGACTCCTGGGCATGCCACTGTCCCCCCTCCTACTGCCTGTCCTGCTGTATCATCATTTGCGTCCCCACCCTGACACAGAGTGCAAGCAGGCAGGGCACACTGAACCTGCAGCTATGTAGGGGTGGTGGGAGGGGATGGGGAAAGGAAGGAAGGGAAGGAAAAATTATGAGAAAGGAAAAAAATGGAAACGAAGTCTATGTAGATGGGGAAGGGTGGAAGGGGTGAGGGGCACACAGGTAATGGGGAAAAAATGAAAACCAAGATACATCATGTACAGGTACAAGCACCCAATGATACATGTAAAGGTATTGTTTACCTAAAGTGTACCAATAAAGAATTTAAGGAAAAAAACCCCTGCAGCTATGATTTTCATGACTCTCCTCAATGCCAGGTGTTAGGTAAAATAACAGTCTTCCTGATGGAGACCACCCAGAGTGAGCTATAAATTCATAAACTGGCTTTTCATATGAAAAGTCTGAGTCTGCCTATTAGCCCACAATGGTTTCCTGAAGAGCCAGCAGTTGGTGTATGGGAAAGGAACAACTCCCCATGCCACTGGTTACAGCAGAGGTCTTAATGATCCATGATGCTGTGACGCCTTACATGGCAAGACAATAGTGCAGCTAAGAGCAGTGTGACTTGTACAGAAAACTTCTATAGAGGCAAAAATTGATCCGTAGGAAGAAACAAATTTCTCATTAATCAATGATCTGTTCCTACTAGAATATCCTGTTCCCTTGTTGCTAGGGCCCTGCTTGCATCGGTGATCTCCACTTCACTGTTCCCTGCACCACCCTTTACTGCTTCTAGAAGCTGCATGTTCAGTAAAGAGTGGCAAGCTCCAGGAGACAGTGTCTTAGCCAGATAAGAGCTTTGACCATCCTGGGCCCCCTATTTATACATTAAGATCTTTTTTTTTTTTTTTTTTTTTTTTTAGTACAGGGGATCGAACTTGGGACCTTGTGCTTGAGAGGCAGGTGGCAGAAACACTGAGCTAAATCCCTGGCCCTGACTTGTCTTGTTTTTAATCCATCCGCTGTACCCATCGTCAGGTGACTGGGGGTCTGATCAGCCTCCAGTATCTTCCCTTCACAGCATCCCAGTGCAGCACGGTCCTCTCTACCAGACATAACGTGGTCCCAAGCTGAAGCTCTAGGTGATGCCACTGTAGTTTGAATCTGCCCGGGAATGGCTGACCAGCACAGCTACTCATCACAGCCATCTGCCCAGAACAGGAGTGCTGAGGCATGGACTGTCCCTGTGCTTCCCTTGACACTCAGGATGGACGGTGTATCTGGCTCCCATCACAACAGAGGTGGCAACAATGCCTGCTTCACAGGTGGCTGTGAGGAGCAGGTAAGGCCGGGCAAGGCACTGAAGGCTCAGAGCACTCCAGATGACAAGGCTCTGGCAGTTCCAGAGCCACCTACCTTGGTAGTGGCCATGGTCACCAAGTCCACCCTGGCATGGGCTTTGCGCAGCATGTGGTGGCTGCCCGAAGCATTGGTGATGATCTCCACACCATCCAGGCCCATATCAACATGTGGGCTGCGGCAGAGGCAGGCAGAGAGAAGAGACCAGATGGATTCTGACCACCCTCCTGCAGCCCCTCAAGCTCTCCCTCACTGTTTCCACAGGGCACAGTCCCAAGACACATGCAAACCCAGGCCCTGCCACTGGCCTGTGTACGCATGGGGCTGGCAGCACAGGGGGCCTGGCCAACCTGTGTGGTGTCCAGAGCTCCTCGCAGACCTCGCTCCCGATGCAGGTGTCCCAAGTGGCCAGCACGGCGTCCCCAAAGAGCACGGTTTCCTGTCAGTGGAAGAAAATAGCACCAGATTCCATAACCATTCTATCCAGGCTATGGACTGATCTAGGACCCCAGATGTCCTCAGGAAGGTCCCTGAAGGCCACCATGTGTTCCAAGCCCTGCCTTATGTCCTTCCAAAGCCCAAGGCATATCCAGCACCAGCTGGCACCTCCTCTGCCAACCCCTAAGGAGCTCCAGTCACACTATTCATGACCAAAACCTGAGTTCTGAGAAGCCATCTCATTAAGTTTCCATGGGCACAAATCACCATCTTCATCATCTTTATTAATAATAACAGCTCTCATTTGGCAAATATTACCAATATGACTTGCAGCAGTAAGCATGCTTGCTATGCTGGACAGTATGACCAGGTAGCCTTCTCATCCTTCTTGCAGAAATGACCTAACCGAGGGTGGCAAAAAGTTACCCAGCTCCTGTGTGGCAGGGCCAGAGGCAGAATGCAGGTATGTCTGTCTCTAAGAGACCTGAAACCAACAGTGACTGGGGCTTCCTGGGTGGTGACAGAGCCTCTCCTGTGGATGGCACGAGTCTAGTAATGAGGCACTGACGGTAATACCAGGGGTTAGGATGGCCTGTTTAAAATATAGATTGACACCTCTAGCACGTGCCAGGTGGGGCCCACCTTGGCCATCTCTCTCAAGGCCAAGGTTACAGGGCTGTTGTCACTTTGTTCAGCCAAGAAATAATCATCTCAAGGGGCCTAGAACTTATCTTAAGGGTCTGGTCACGGTTCCCTGACACATGAGTTCAGCTCTCTTTATGGCCAAGGGCAGGGACTATAGTACTAATCCAGGCCCTTTCCTCTCCAGCATGTCTGCCACCAACAGAGTCACTTTTCACTGTGGCTGCAAGGAAAGCCCTCTCCCAAGATCACAGTGCTGGTCAGATGCTAGGCACTGTACCCTGCTCCTAGAGTGCCTGACTACTCAGGCAGGGATGGGATCGGTTCCTTGCCATGCTGGCACCTGGGCTCAGAGCAATGGGGTAGGGGTGGGGTTGACAAAGCATTTGAAATGAAGCCCGGGAACTGATCTGTGGACTTTGGGTTGTCCAGGCTGGGGCAGTGACAGGGAAATCTGTTCATTTCCTGAACTTGTCCCTGGACTTTAGTTCACCTCTGCTCAGGGATGACTCTAGCAACCTGACCTGTGGTGAGCCAGACCTAGAGATACTCAGCTATAGGCCCCATGCAGCTCTGGCTCAGCAGGCCCAGCTGTGCAGCTCTTAGGACAGGACAGGAAGGATTAAGAGAAAGTAGAATGACAACAGCATGCATTTCATGGCAGGCCGGCCAATAGTGTTTGTCATACACATACATACACTCTTGAGCTTGGGGTCATGATGATGTAAAAATGTGCACACTGCCATGATTCCCAGTTTGAAGAGTCCCCAGATCCCTTGGGAGGTAACCATGCCTGGCTAAGAGCGCTCTTCTGTTACAGTTTAGATCCAAAATGTGTCCCAAAGGTATCATGTGTGTAGAAGATAACTGGATCATGGAGGGCTATATTCATCAGTGGATTCATCTACTATTTGTAGGTTGGGCCTGGTTGGAGGAATGTCATCAGGGACATGACCTAGAAAGGTATATTCTTGTCCTGGGCTCCTTCTTTCTCTCTCTAGTTCCTGGCTGCCCTGGGTTGAACAGATTTCCACCATCCAATTCCTTCTACTATGCCATTTCTGCCTTGGAGTCAACCAACTATGAACTGTGAGCCAAAATAAACCTTCCTCCTTTAAGTTCTAGGTATCAGGTATTTTGTCCCAGCAACAGGAAAGTGGCTAAGACACCTTCCCAAATGTCACCCTGGCTATTTTTGATCACCAAAGCTAAGGCTCCAGGCTAAGTGGCCTGCATGGCGCCTCTCCCAGGGACTCAGGACTGCAGCCAGCAACTCAATCCAGCTCCTGGATGGTAGCAACCCAAGGTTAAGAGCCCCTGCTGGCCAGGCATGCAAGAGGTTCAGAAAGATGCACCACTGTGATGGAGAAACCGGGCTAGTGCCTAAGTCAGGGATGGAGACTGGTCCCTGAATGAGGTGGGCCTCTGTGAGCCACTCTGCGGGAGGGACTCAGTATGCCCTTATGAAGAACTACATTATAGCCATGAAGTCCTTATAATCAATTTACTCCTCAATTGGATGTTGTTTATTTCCTTCAGTTTTTAACAGAATCACATCACGTGGAGCTCTTGGTAACAGCTGTTTATAATCAAAGACCTGAAAGGAAAGGTGTCTGATGAAGGTGGAACCAGGGTGAGGAGGCTGGAGAAGCATCTTCTGTAGGGAGCTCCAGGCTCAGAATGTCAGGCCCCAGACTCAGCCCCAACTAAAGGGGAGCAGGGCAGGGCCTCAGCAGCAAGAAGAGACACTGGGCCAGAGATGAGTTAGCAGTTCTCAGGCCCAGTAAATTGCCAGGAGGCAGAACAGCCTCAGGCCTCAGGTGCTCCACCAGGGCAGGCTGGGGACAAGAGTGTGTGAATGCACCTTCATATGAGGAGCAGATTCTGCAGTGGGACCGAGGCCCCTTTGCTTAGCTGTGCAATTCTAAGCAGTTATTCAACCCCTCTGTGACTGTTAAATGAAAACCAACTCAGTGCTTCTGGGGGTTAAACAAACTCAGGCTACCTTCAAGGTCTGTTCACGTGTCCATCCATGTATTCATTCCCTCTCTCTGCCATTTCCTGTGCACCTTGGGGCCCCTAAGATCCATGGATAATGAGAGCCCAGCCACTGAGCTCAGGGTATATTCCAGCAAGGCAGGACACTAGGTTGTGAATAAGTGGGTGCTCTCAGTATGATGACAGAGGTAGGCAGGAGCCATGACAGGAAATAAGGCAGGCAGGGTAAAGGGGAAGATGGGAGGTGACTTAGGAGGTGACCATCAGGAAGCCAGGCCTTGAGCAGAAATGTGGATGGAATTAAGAGACGTTGGAGGGAGTCTGTGCTGTAACTAACCATCCTCCAAGGGGTCTGGCCATGAGGGCTGGACTTGAGTTTGGTTCTTGCATACTGGGAAGAGGCAGATGCCCCATGACTTTCCCTGGGAATGCCAAATCGTGCCAGGTAGTGGTATCTTCAGGACTTTGTGTAAAGAAGAAAATGCCTATACCCAGAGCAGCCAGGAATGGAATGCTGTGGACACTGACAGGGCCACTGACCCAGGACAGTCACCCTGGAAACCACCTTTGACCTGCTGCCACATGACAGGTAACAGCTGCTGGCCTGCAGTGTGGCTCACCTGTCACAGCCCAGCCACAAGATGCAACCAAGATGGGGACACCAGAGTCCCTTCCCTGGGGACTCACCATGGAAATATGACACTTTGTTTTCAGTGTAGGAAATGTAGAAAATGTGGAGAGGGCCATTTCCAGCCATGTGGAAGAAAGGAAGAACAGAAAGCCAGCTAGAGGCCAAGAAAGAGGAAGGTGAGGAGAGAAGGCAGGCCGGGAGACGAGCAAGGAGCAGCACCCAAGACCCTGCACTCACTATAGAAGTCTCCCATTTCCTTGCTTCTTACTTATGCCAGCCACAGTGCTTTCTGTGATTTAGAGAGACCCTGTCCCACATGGTCCCCTGCTAGCTGGAATGGTGATGTCTGAGTGAGTTTCAGAGGTGGGACTCACCTGCTTTGTCAGGTCCTGCAACATCCGAGGGAGGAAATACTCCTCTACTTGCCTGGAAAGGAGAACACCACAGATCTGAGACTTGCTGAGTCCAGAGGGAACCAAGAGCCTCGCACCAGGAGTCAGCACAGCCAAGTTCAAGTTCAGACTGCTGTGAGCTACTGCTTCAAGGTGAAAGGGAAGTATGAAGGGAACTGATTACACCCTGCAGCACTTTGCTAAAAGACAGGCTGTTGCTCTCGAGGGTCTGAATGTCTCAGCTCCCAGGTATGGATGCACAAGGACTGAAAAGCTGTGATGTGAGGATTAGCTGAAAACAATCCACATTGCCCAGGAGAAAGCAGCGGCACCCAGATCACAGTTGCTGAATTAGAAAAGCCACGTAGCATTAACCCAACATACAAATGCAAACCCATATCAGTGAAATAATAAAGCTCCATGGCTACACAGATGGCAGAGGGTTGAACACATAGCTTTAGCATAAGGAGTCCCAAAGAACCACTCTAAAAGGTACTGTATAGCTGGTAGAAGGAGATGGTTCACACCTTTGACTTCAAATAGGCTGTTACAAGGCACACCACTTCAATATCTGATTAGCTCTGTTTCTTCTTGCCTTGTTTAGAGTTCCCAAGCACCTTATGGGCACACCTGCAGCAGTTGTCTTTTACTTAAGCAAAGCATTGAAAGTTGAGAAGTTGAAAGAATGATGACTTGTCTCCCTCATTTTCTCTCCTTCACTGTTGTAGGGATCAGGAACAAGATCTCTGCAGACCTCCCAGCAGCCTCATCACCCCATAATGAGCACCCATTTCGCCATCTGTAGGTCTGATGATGGCTGTGTTGCTGCACCAAAATGCATTTCAAAGGTAGGGGGCCCAAACACTTCCCCTTCATCCTTGTTTCCTCCTCAGTTCATCTGAAGATCCACTTGGTACCAGGCCACAGAGAAAGGCCACCAGGAAGTAGCACATGCCCAGCTTCACTTCTTCTCACTCTTTGTCCCAAGGTAGCCCCAAAGCCAGTTCACACCTGGCAGATGGCTACTGAGGCTCATTACAGTGCACTGAGAGCAGGGACATCATGAACAAAAGTCTCTCAGAAAGCTGGCCTCCAGCCGCAGCCTCCGTTGCTGTTTGAGACACCTTCCCTGGTGGGCACTAATGTGGCAGCCTCTGCCTGACCTCCCCAGCAAACCTCCCCTCAAAACTCCTAGCAGTGTATTTCTGCCCAGGAACCATTTTTGGCAATGGCAATTGCAAGTCTTCTCTGCAGCTGTGAGCTACAAGAGGCCCCATGTTTCCTATACTGCTGTGATAATCATGGGGTGCTTAGATTTGGGGAGCTATCTAAGAAGTTTTTAAAGCATCAATTCTTAGATTCTCTGCAGGAAAGACTGGGTCTCACCAAATCATGGTGAATTAGAAGTTTCAGGGTATTCATCCTAATCAAAAGTACATGCTACAGGAGGAGATGGGGGCTCATAGGAAATTGCTGGAATACATCTTGAATGAGCCAGTGATCAGGTCAAACCCAGAAATAGTGGCATCTACAGTAATAAGTGAAATAACATAAGTAGTGCACACCAGCACTGAATGCATGGCAGCTCCATTGTGGAGAGGAACCTTCTCTTTGGCAGGGGTGAACAATAATCCTGTATTGTTAAGAATGCAGACTCTGCTACTAGACAGATATACTGAGCAGAAGGGCAGGTGGACTGAATCCTACCAAGTGACTGAGTGTGGAAGAGGAAATTTCTAGCATTTCCCTGTGGTTTTAGACATGGCTGGACAGGGAGCTATCTAAAGAGGTACTCTGACCCGGTAGCCTGTGCAAGAGAACAGAAAGCCCACATTTTTTATATTGCCAAGATATGACATCAACTTCTCTACAGGGAGGCAGAAGGGATACTAAGAGTCAGCTTGGGCCAGGAGGATGGTGATGTGACATAATAATCATGAAGTTCACAGTCTTATTGGCAGAACTGATACGCAGTGTAGCTCTAAGGTAAAGAGCACACTGTGCTCGAGGTCAAGAGTGATGCATATTCCATTTTTACATTGTACTAGAATTTTACATTTTCAATTCAAGATTTAAGATGTCTAGATTTTCAATCCTGTAATCCCAGGACTGAGAGAGGCTGAGGCAGGAGGATCAAAACTTAAGTCCTGGCTTGACAACTCAGCAAGACACCCTCTGCAAACTCCAGCTGAGGTGGCCACCCACTCCCCCCACTGCAGCCCTGTGTTCACTTTTATTTGTGGGTCTAACTCATAAGCAACCTTTTGTGAAAACCTGTGTTCCAATACATTGGAGAATATAGAAGAAATGAATAGATTCCTAGACACATATGAATTACCAAAACTAAACCAAGAAGATATAAAAACCCCAAACAGTCAATTCAATAACAAGGAAACTGAGGCAATAATAATAATAAAAAAACACTATCAACTAAGAAAATCTCAGGACCCAATAGATTCACTGCTGAATGTTACAAGAACTTCAGGAAAGAACTAACGCCAATACTCCTCAAATTCTTGCAGAAACTGAAAGGGAAAGAGCACCGCCAAATTTATTCCTTGAAGCTAGCATTATCTTAACACCAAAACCAGAAAAGATACCTGCAAACAATATAACAAATCATTAAAAAGATCATAAATCATGACCAAGTTGTGTCACCCCATGACTGCAAGAATGGTTCAATATACATAAATTAATAAATGTAACACATCACCAAAAATAGAACTAAGGACAGTAGATTCAAAAAAGCATTTCACAAAATTCAACATTCATTCATGATAAAAACCTTGATGTGTTTTATGACAAACCTACCACCAACTTCATACTAAATGGTGAAAAACTGAAAGCATTCCCATTAAAAACAGGAACAAGACAAGTGGACAGGGGTGTCTATTTTCACCACTCCTGTTCAACACAGTACATGTATTCAAAAATTTAGCCAGAGAAATTAGGCAAGAGAAGGAAATAAAAGGGATTCAAATAAGAAAGGAAGAAGTCAAAATATCCTTATTTGCAGGTAACATGATCCTTTACATAGAGGATCCAAAAAACTCTTCCAGAAGATTCTCACAACTAATAAATTCAACAGAGTGATAGGATACAAAATAAATACACAAAAATCAATAGTGTTCCTAAACACGAAGAATGAACCCACTGAGAAAGAAACCAGAGAAACAATCCCATTCACAATAGCTTCAAAAAAGACAAAAGCCTCAGAATTAATCTAACCAAGGAAGTGAACTATCTCTATAATGAAAACTATATTACTCTTAATAAAAGAGATTGAAGAGGACATTAGAAAATGGAAAGATATCCCCTGTTCTTGGATAGGCAGAACATCATTGAAATCACCATATTACCAAAAATGATCTATAGATTTAATGCAATCCTCATTAAAATAACAACAGCTTTTTTCACAGGATTAGAAAAAATAATTCCAAAGTTTTTATGGAAACAGAAGAGACCAGAACAGCAAAAGCAATACTGGCAATAAAAGCAAGGCAGGAGGTGTTACATTCTCAGACTTCAAGTTATACCCCAAAGCTACAGTAGTAAAAACAGCATGGTACTGACAGAAAGACAGACATATTGATCAACAGGATAGAATAGAGTATGTAGAAACAACCTCAAGTACCTTCAGACAGTTGATGTTTTACAAAGGGGCCAATGTATATGCTGGTAAAAAGATGGCCTCTTTAATAAATGGTTTTGGGAAAATGGGTTATCCACAAGCAGAAGAATGAATCTTGATCCATATCTTTCACCCTGTACTCAAATCAAATCAAAATGGATCAAAGTGGGTCAGGATTTAGTTCAGTGGCACTGTGCCTGCCTGACAAGCACTAGGTCCTGAGTTCGATCCCCAGTACCAAAAAAATAAATAAATAAATAAATAAATTTTAAAAATGGATCAAAGAACTATACACAAAAACAGAAACACTGACTAATGGAAGAAAAACCTGGTAACACCCTTGAAGACATAGGCATAAATGGATTTCCTGAACAGAACCAATTGCATAAAAAATAATACCAAGAATCAACAAATTGGATTACATCACCTTTAAAAGCTTCTACACCACAAAGGAACCAACCAACAGAGTGAAGAGACAACCTACATAATGAGAAAAAAATTTTACCAGCTACTCTTCAGACAGGATTAATACCTAGAATATATAAAGGACTCAAAAAAAAAATAGATCACAAAAAAATGAAACAATCAAAAATGGCCAATTGAAATGAATAAACATTTCATAGAATAAAAATGGTCACAAATATGTTTTAAAATGTTTAAAATCTTTAGCCATTAGAGAAATATAAATCAAGCACTGAGATTCCACTTTACTCCAGTAAGAATGACCACTGATACCATGCCAACCTCATAAGCGCAAGGGCCTGAGTTCAATCCTCGGTACCGCAAAAAGCAGAACAAAAGAATGACCATTGAAAGGACAAGAAAACAAACACTGATGAGGTTGCAGGGGGAAAAAAGAACCCTTATACATTGCTCGTGGGAATGTAAACTAGTACAACCACTTTCGAAATCAGTAAGGAGATTGCTCAAAAAACTAAAAATAGAAATCCCATTTGACCCAGCTATATCTCTCCTGAGTATTCCCAGAAGAGCTAAAATCAGGGCCAGAGATGTAGCTCTGTGGCACCGCGCCTGCCTGGCAAGCGCAAGGTCCTGAGTTTGATCCCCAGGACCAAAACAAAACAAAACGAACAAAAAAGAGCTAAAATCATCCTATAAAAATGATACACACAGGCCAGGGATTTAGCTCAGTAGTTCTGCCTGCCGACTGCCTCGAAAGCACAAGGACCTGAGTTAGATCCCTGGTACAAAAAAAAAAAAAAAAATACACACATACTCATTTATAGCAGCACAATCCACATTAGCTAAATCATGGAAGCAGCCTACACGCCTGTCAACAGATGAAAAAAAAAAAAGAAAATGTGATATATATATATATATACACACATACATATATGCATATATATAAAAAAAATTTTGAGTCATTTGTAAGACAAATCTTGAGACCATAATGCTAAATAAAATAAGTCAGTCACAAAAAGTTATATATCAGGTGATATCTCTGAGAAACCCAAAATACGAACAATTGAAAGAGAAAAATAAACAGGCATGTGAAAAAACAGGGAGGTAGTCTCGGTAGAGGTGGGGATCTGGTGGAAAAGGAAGAGGGACAGGCAGAGGAGATGGGAGTAAAAATTTTATATGGATCAAAGTCCCAAGCTGTATGGAGTCACTATGTATCACAAACATGTACTAACAAAAAGAAAAACTGCAGATCAGAAAAAGACCAAAACAGGTTTTCCTAATAAAAACTATTGTATAGAAGACAAATTTAGAGAAATAAAACCAAGAAAATACCAACAAATGAAGAGAGAAAAGGAAAGATAGGGAAAGCAGACAGAAGGATGTAACAGGCTTGTGTGCTTGTGCCTGAGGTCTCTGAAGAAGGAAACAAAAGCAGAAGAACAAAACAGAAAATTTCCTGAAATAAAGATAATGTAAGCATATTAAAAAATAAGAGATTCATCAAACTATTCTTTGAAGTGATGGAGATGCCCCACAGGCATCTGTCTAGGCAGAAGTAGCTGGCTTCTACTAAAACAAAGATCAGATTTCCAGACTTCCTTCTAACATGGAAGCACAGAAGTGAGCCACAGCACGTACGTGACTAAAGTCTAATGTTAAAACAGGGAGGACATAAACGCTGCCAAGGTGAAGGAGCAGAGCATCATGAAGACTTGGACACCCCGTGTGGCCCTTCTCTCCCCAGAAGTGTTGAGTGCCCTGAATCTCGTATCTTGTACTTGTGCCCAGACCCATGTATCCTGTTGATAGCTTTAGTTGTCTTTGAACTTCCCACCCATGGAATCACAGTGAATACACTCTCGTGACTTGGTTGTTTCATTCAACATTATCTTTCTGAGCCTCCACTTCTCTGCCCATGTGATTTGGGTGCCCATCTCCTAATACTTGGGGGACAGAAAGAGAGGATGAGGCAGCAGGGGGAGCGAAGTCTTTACATGTGGTCATGAAGTGAATGACCATGAATGTAAGAGTCCTCCACCACCAGTAGAAGGTAAGAGGCAGTTCTTGGAATTATGAAGATAAAATATTTCTAACTTAAAAAAATTTTTTTATTACTCATTGTGTGTGAGAAGCAAATAAAGACATCTGCAAGCAAGATCTCAAAATATTTACCTTCCTCAAATCATTGTTCCAAGAAGCTGCCGGAAACTGTGTTGCAATGAAGGAGCACATGACAAGAGGAAGATGTTAGATCCCAGGGGAGAGGACAGGCTACCCAGAGACAGTAAAATCCAGTTCAAGGGCAACAGGGGACAGAGCAGGAGGTCAGTCTGGCCACCTGCCTGACAGAGTGCTGGGTGGGCAGGTGGAAGGTACAGGTGACTCCCAGGAGAGGAACAGCACAATTCTGGGCTTAGTCATGAACTTACACAAACCGAATCATATCAATGGTGCGCTATGATTTATATGGACATATAAGGGGAGAGAAACTGAACTAAGGGATGTTAAGTGCACTGTCTTGTTCTTGTACAGCAAGAAATTGAGGCATGACAATATGTCCGTGTTCACCATAGCATGATTCTCGATGGTCAAGAGGTGGGCCACCACCTGCCTCGCAAGGTCCTGAGTTCGATACCCGGTACCAAAAAAAAAAAGAGGTGGAGGCAACTTAGACATTCATCAGCTGATGAACAGAGGAACATGTGGCACTGGATGGAATGGAATATTACTCAGCCCTAAAAAGGAGGAAATTCTAAAACATGACAGGATGGATGGTCCTTGAGTATGTTATGCTCAGGGAAATAAACCAGTCACAAGAGAACAAATTCTACATGATTCCACTCATATAAGGTCCCTAGAGTCATGAGGTCCATAGAGACAGAAAGTAGGATGGTGGTGCCAGGGACTGGGGAGGGCTACAGGGAGTCAGTGTTTAATGGGGACATTTTAGGAAGATGAGGTAGTTCTGGTGATAGCTACACAGCAGTATGAATGTGCTTAATGCCCCTGAACTCTGTGCACCTAAAAATGTTTCAGAGGGCAAATCTTAGGTTAGGCGGATTTTACCACAATTTTAAAAATGACAACATAAACAGTAGTTAGAAATATGGAGGCAAAGCTGAGAGAAAGGGAAAAATTGGACAAATAGAGTGTTACTAGGATTGGGTGGGGATGGAGGGGGCAGGGGCAAAGCAATGATGGGTTTTTGTTTTGTTCTGGTATTAGTTACACAAGATGTGATCAAAATGTACAATGAATGTTTCAAGTTTTAAAAATTTATCACAGTAAAAGACACACTGTCATTAATCCCCCTCAACGTACTTGCCCTCACTTCAAACACACTTATCCCATTGTTCTTGGCACTTTCTGAAGCACTTCTGGAAGTCCCCTTTCATGAGTGTCTTCATAGGTATGATCAAAAAAATGTGAATGCTGCTGCCGAGCGCCAACCAATGGGAAGGCAAGCTTGTAAAAACATCACAGTGTGTCCTCATCCACCATGCAACTTCTGGCTCTTCCTCAAAATCAAAACGACCATGAAAGAAAAACATTTTGAATCAATTCAGGACACTGAGGCAACCAGGAACTTCTAGAACTGCTTCAGAAAGTGGCAAGGACAAACTCGTAATAAATTTAAAAAGTTTTAAACATTAACTGTATTTTTCAGTCAAATGTCATATAAAAGAAACAGCCATGTCTAAATGACAGGCAGGGACCTTATTCCTGTTCTAGTGTCCTCTTATGACCCGGGGCCAAGATACACACAGTGGTGATGTTTACTAACTAAACACTCAAAGGGAAGTCCTGAACATGCTATCATGTGTTGGGGTCTGTAACTCACCGGCTCCTGGACCATGGAGTAAACCAGCGCAGCTCTCGGTAGTTGGCTTCATTTGCTAGGGCCATCTTGGGCCTGATGAGCAGGATTCTCCTACAGCAGGGAACAGGGCTGCTCAGACCAAGCTCTTGGGACAGATGGGCCAGTGCCCACAGTCATGGTCACCAAAGCCAGATAACCTATGCAGAGCCAGCTCACACTGAGAAAATCTCTTCCTCCTCTGAGCTTCAGCTTTCTGTCTGTAAAACAAGTCTCCACAGTTCCATCCACCTCTGACAGTCAGCAAGGACAGAAGGGTGAAGTCCAGCAGGTGTACTTTGCAGTTAGCTAAGGAGGAGGGCTGTAAGGAGTCCTCCCTCAACTAGACTAGCGTTCAGGTCACAAGGACATGTCCCCAAGCCCCACCTTCTGGGTCTCTCTCCTTCCAAGGCCTGAAGGTGCCCCTGTGAGGACTGGCTGTGACCCAAGACACCTGGCTGGTGTGGTACCCTCACTGGCATCTCCCAAGAAGGCCTCCGGCACACAGTTCCAAGGGCACCACACAGGTCTCCACAGCCTCCAGCCCAGGGGCCACCTACCTGTTGAGAAAGATGACTCTGCAGTTGTAGCGGACATTTCGGTGCATCACAGGCCTGCAGAAGAAAGAGAGGGACATAAGTGTCTGCACCCGTTCTGACACACGCAGCGAGTGGAGGCAGCAGCTCCTGTTGCAGAATCAAACTGTTTGTTTTAGTAGGAAGCTTTCTCAGATCCTTCCAGAGAATCGTAAGGCTCTTCTGTAGCCTTCTCAAGTCCAACATAAAAATGAGCCAAATGTCCAGGTGACAAAGGCTCAAAGTTGAAGAGATTTTTCTAGGTGAAGTGCATGGCTATCAGGCTCCAGGGCTCTTCCCCATCCAACTGGATGTTCTCAGCTTTGGGTGGCTGCCTGCCTGCCTCCTCCCTTGCCTCTGCCACCTTGTCACCTTGCCATGTGTGTCAGATCCCAATCCTCACTGCTTCCATTCTCTGCCCCAAGCACACTTGCTCATATCACCTCTCAGGCAACCTCGCAGTACTTCTCTGCAGAGCTGGAAAGGTTGGGTGGCTTGGCTGGGGCACCAGGCAGACTCAGGCAGAGATGGGAAGAGGCAGGACTGGCCCCTGAGCTCAGCCCACATGAACAGCCAGACAGCCCAGGGCAGGGCTCAGCAAGGACAAGGGAACAAGGCTTCTTAAAGGGTCACTGAGAGGCTGGCTGTCAGATAAGTGACAAAACAAATACACACATGTCCAGGACATGAACCACACAGCTGGATGCTGGGAACAAGGAGGAGCACACTATCAAGGCTGTGGACTCCAAAGTCAGGAAGCACTGGGCTCAATGCCTCCTCCCAAGATGGGGTCCAAGGCTACCTGCAGGAAGACATCCTTGGCTCACAATGCATGGCCAGCTACCATGATCAAGTCCCAGCATTATAGCTTCCAATCCTCACTCAGGCCAAAGGAAACACATCACAGGCAGGCACAGATGTGTTCTCATTTATACAAAGGGTATGCAGACTGCCAGATAAATAGATACTTTCAAGAAAACAGGGGCTCTCAATGGATGTACAAGGAATATTTGCTCTGGAGCAAGCCCTTCGAACAAAAAGATCAGATGGAAGCTATCATTACATGAAAATTTCAAAGCTTAACACATATAAAATTAAATGGCAAACAACATATAGGAAAAAGTATTTTTATTTATGTGAGCATAGGCTGCTATCCTATATATAAAGAATGCTTAAAATAACAAGACAATTATAGGCAAAACAACAGAAACAACAACAAAATCAAGCAACTTCAAAACTATTACAATTGACCAATAAACAGAAAACCATCGAACTCCAGAGTAGTAAAAGCAAATAAGACAGTGTTTTTGAAAATTAATCACCACTCTCAGACTTTCGTTTGTGAGAGCTAGCGCTGTGTCACTCATAGAATGGGTTATGGTCTCCAACCACAGAGGGCTGGAAGGGGACTAGATACATCCTCCCTTGGAGGATATTTTGGAGAAAGAATTCCAGGCAGAGGGCATCAGTGACATTGTAATGCCTGTCTTGTTTAGTGGAGCTTATACATCCAGATAAATGCTAGATTTCCCCCCAAAAAATCATCAAATATGATTGTGACCATTTTAAGGGTAAAAACTAAAAAAAAATTAAAATAAGATTATAAATTCCAAGCCAACACAGGAAAGTCTGAGCAGAAAATAGTATTATTAAAGTGACCACCACAAGTCCACATGGCCCCCTCAAAGACACCATGTCCTAATGCCTGGAACCTGTATTCATGTTACCTGGCAAAGGAGTTTTGCAGGTGGAATAAAGTTCATGACCTTGAACTGGAGAGGCTACCCTGGTCTGCCTGAGGCCCTCATATGTACGGGAGAGTCCTTATATGAGGGAGGGTTGGAGAGGGAGATGTGAAGACCACGGCTGGGCAGAGTGAGGCAGGTGCCAGAGGGGCCCTGAGCCAGGGAAGCGAGCAGAGGCAGAGGTGTGGACTCTGTCCTAGAGCCCCCCACTAAGAGAACCAGACTTGCTGCTGGTCCTGGTGTCAGAAGTGTGTGATGGACAAAACCTGTGCTGCTCTTGTGCTTTGTGTTTGTGATCATTTGTCACAGCAGCACTGAGGAACTAACACAGCCTACAGTGGTCCTAATCACCATCAGTATGAACAGGCTGGATTAAAACCCCTGCCTATATGCTGCTTAGAAGGACACCACTGAACAAATGTCACAGCAAGGTCAACTGGCCACAATGTGAGGCCTGGTTATGCAAAGCCTGGCACAAGCACACACTAGAAGAATCTACACCACACAGAGCTTCAGGGTGGGGAGGTCAATGTGGAATGACATGGAGCCACCCCTGAGATTTACCATGAAGGGAATAAAGCTCTCTGCACGTGACAGGATGAACGCCATACTGCCATTTGTGCAACATGTGTGCTTGCAAAGCTGGAACAACCTATAAAAGCTGCTCCTAGTTGCTGTTGCCGTGGGAGAGAAATTAGATGGTCACAGAGCCAGGATGGGGACAAAACCACTTTTCAACCACCTCATCAGGTAGGAGGGGCTGGATATCCTACATCCTTGAACTTGCCTTTTTTCTGAGCTTGCCCATCTACACGTTCATGATGGCACTTACATCCCCACGTCACAGATGATATCCTGGGTGACTGGAGATTCCAGAAGGGTCGCCAGGACTTGAAGTGAATGCAAGAGGGTGTCCGACTCGTAATAATGATCCCAACATCCATAGCCACTGCAAAGAGGGGGAGCAGGCAGGTGAGTGGGTGGGGCCTAAGGTCAATCACATCAAAATAAGAGAGGGGCGGGCCCAAGCACCGGTATTTCTTCAATCCTTCCTGAGTACTTCTATTGTCCAGCCAGAATCAGAAGCACTTTCCAACAAATGGTACATTTTATAGGAAATTAAGAAACATCAGGCTCCTACTCCCTTTTTAGTTTTTGGTTACTCTGAGTTTTCTTTCTGGTCAACAAGTACTTGTCCTTGGATATTTTTAACCTATAATGTGCCCAAAGTCACACTGATCTACAAGAAAAAGATGCAAAAAGAAACAAAGCTGGATACACACACACAAAAAAAATTTTCATAGGAGAAAGATCATTCCAAATGCCTCCCAACAACCACTCCAGAGTTTCTTGCTATAGATGTTGTACCTGAATGGTGGCCCTCCAGAAGGCAAGTCCACATCCTAACCTCAGGAACCAGTGAATTTTAGGATAATAGTTTGCAGATGCAATTAAGTTAAGGCTCTCAAGATGAGGCCACCCTGGATCTTCCTGGGGAAATAACCAGTCTGTTTCCATTCCCTGTTAGCTCCCAGGCCTTTGTGTGATAACAAATGATGCTGTTACGCCAGGTTGATGTTGCAGCTATCAGCGACCTCTCACTCCTTCTGCTGGGCAACAGCTGGAGGAGCAACACATAATAGATGTTGGCCAATAAGCACCCAGGGCTCATGCGGCTGGCCACCTTCCATCTCCAACACCTACAAAATTGGCTCAGAGAAAACAGGACACCTTTGCAGGTGAAGGCCTGGGTCCAGCCCACTTTCTCCATTCCAGGGGCCCCTCTGAGGTGGGAACTGGACCCTGGCCAGTAAAAGGAGGAAGATGGAGAGCTCAGGGAACTGACTGAGCTCCTCTTGATTCAGTTTCCTCTTTGTCATTTGTTGCAGATATTATACAAGAGCATACTGAGCACACTGGCTCACCCTGCCTGACCATCCTTTAGCTAAAAATTCTCTCTTTTTTAAAAGGACAAATCCTTGACTGGGGATTTAGCTCAGTGGTTACGCCACCTGTCTGAAAAGCGCAAGGACCCGTGTTCGATGCCCGGTACGAAAAAAAAAAGGATAGGTCCAGATTAAGGAGCAGGAAAAAGGTAGAGGAGAATTGGCAGAGAGATGAAGAGTGGAATTCTACATATCTGAGCAAAACCCTCCAATCAGGAGGACTGGGCTGAGCTGCAGCTCCCAGGGCTAAGATACAGCCAGATCACAGATCAAGCTCGGACCCCAGGAGTAACAGCTATGTGACCTTGGGTCACCAAGAATTGACAATTCCCGGCAGCCAGGAAAGAAATTCTTAAAAGAACTAATTAAATGAAAAGTGTAAATGCTCTCAGATGGTGTTATGGTTAATACCCACACATTCTCCCAAAGCCCCATATGCCCATAGGTGGGACTTTTGGAAGGTGACTGGATTATGGGGGCACAGTAGTCTGCAGTGGATTAGTCTCTCGATGAGTTCATAGCTAAATGTGATTGGGAAGTGAAGCCTGGTTGGAGGTGGGTCACTGGGGGGGTGTGGCCTGCCAAGGTATATCTCCCTCTACCCTTGATCTTCTCTGCTTCCTGCTTGCTGTACCATGAGCAATTCTCTGCCATCACACCCTGCCTTGGAACCTCCTGACTATGGACTGGAATCTCTATAAACCGTGAGCCAAAATAAACCTTTCCTCCTTTAGGTTGTTAAGTATTGTGTTTCAGGGATGGGAAGACAGATTCTTAGTTACCTTAGACAGATTCTTAGTTACTAAGATTCTAAGATTCTTAGTTACTAAGACACATTCTTAGTTACTTTACTCATTGCTGAAACGGATGGTATGGGAGAAACAACCCTACTTGAAGTCAGGAAATTAACCTAATGAAGAAAATGAACTTTATTACGACAGAGGGAAAGATGCTGCAGGACTAATATAAAAGCACCTTTGAGAGGTCATTTTCTGCTCCCTCAAAGTCCAGAAACCAGAACAAAGTAAGGAAGAGGACAAAGACTGAAGAGAGCTTTTCAGACTCCACTGTTAGGTCAGGGGCTCAAAGACAAATGGAAGCACACAGAAGGCAGCTGACATCCAAAATCAGACAAGGACCGCAGCTGGCAGGAGGCATAAAGATGACACACTGAGTATTTTTTTTTTTTTT